GTGATCATCTTCAAAGAGGAAGATTAAAACCAGTTTTAATCTTCCTCTTTGATTAAAACTTCAATCTTTTAAGTTTAAAACTGGTTTTAAGATTAAGACCAGTTTTAATCTTCCTCTTTGATTAAAACTTTAATCTTCCTCTTCGTTATTTTTAACACCTCGACACGTGTTTCGATCACCAAGTGATCATCTTCAAAGAGGAAGATTAAAACCAGTTTTAATCTTCCTCTTTGATTAAAACTTTAATCTTCCTCTTTGAAGATGATCACTTGGTGATCGAAACACGTGTCGAGGTATTAAAAATAATGATTCGGTGTTGGGAAAAAACTCCAGTAATATTTCTTACAGAAAAATTTGCAAAAACCACTTAACAACATCATAAAGATATGAGCTGAAAATAGGTAAAAAATTGAAATTTGGAAAAAAAATTGACAGCATCAATGTATAGAGTATAAAATTCCCTATTGATCAGTACCTATATACCACGAACCAGAGAATAAATATTCATGAAGATATGAAGCTACAAAAACGGACAAATATTTTGAAATAAAATATGAATACCTATAGAATTATCTCCAAGAGATTCATAAAGTAATGATTGGCTAGTTTGGTATCATAATTATAATCTTTAAAACATTGTAATTCATTATTTTTGTTATGAAACTCATTACCTACTCTTCAAATCTAAAAAAAATTGCATTCAAAGTGTAAGATAAAATCGCCCTATAGATTTCATCGAAAAGTAATTATCAAGTTGTCTTGCAATACTGCGTTTATCCATTACAAACGTTAATTCATTCGCTTCAAATTTCATAACTATCACAATCAATGTCTAGTTGAGTAAGGTCATGTTACCTATGAGATTCTTTGTCGTCAGTGGCATCGACGACTGTGGCCTTGTGTTCTCGGTAGGCAATGTTAATAATTCCCCAAGCCACCTAGGAAGTATCGATGCTACTCGCAGTTCCGTCAGCCATGTAACATGGCAGAATCAATCCGCCCTCAACTAGATAAATTCTTGTGAGAAAAATATATGCTCGAAGGCAGATTCTAACTCAACAATATCTCAATTACGAGTCGGACACGCTATTACTGCGGCAAATCACCCCTGACCTATAATATTATTCAGTGTCAGTATGTTCAAAAAGGATTTGTTTCAAGTTAACAGAATAACAGTATAAGAATCAGATAATGTTTTCACTGATTTTTTTTATATCTGTATAATACTCAAATTGGGTAGTTAGGAGGGTTATGCTCAGTACATTAAGTGGAGTTGGTACAATTTATGTGAAACTATGGGTTCATATTATCACTTTTGAAACTCTCCCAGACATGTCTAGCTATATGGTTGTATCATTAGTAGCTACTTCTGAAATTATTCATAACTAATAAAATATACTAACTCATTCATATATGAAACAGCATAAGAGCTGTCGACAATTGTATATGGAGCTGCCACTGCTACTGTTAAAAGATATGGATAATTTGGATTCCTGTTAATGCTTTTTCTGAATTCTTCAAGTAGTTGAGTAAAATGAACTTTCTGGTGTTCATTTGGAAACTCCCAGTCAAGATCAACTCCATCAATTTTGAAATTTTTGACGTAGCTCCTCACAGACTGTATAAAACTGAAAAAAAAGACATGGCAGTGAGTTAAGTACTTACTTAACATAAATACGTAACAAATATTTAACAACAACAACATGATCCTCATGTTGATTGGTTTTCACATTTAATCATATGCTTCTCGATAGTTCTAGATGTCGCATCCCTTTGAGAATATTCCTATCGACTTCCGAAGACTTCCATTGGGATATATAAGCACTACCAACAGGCAGATGGGACTAGTCTAGTTGAAAGTGCGGTACAAAGTGAGCTAATAAGGCGAAAGACATTTGTGTGTTAGTCTGAAGTTTGTTTGTCGCATTGGCAGTGTAGTAGTGAAATAAAAATGAGTTTAATTGTACAATGTGGTCAGTTATTGTCGAACCTATGGGAAAAACGTAACATTATATTAAATTTGAATTTTTAACAAATATTTCAATTATTTTGAAGGCAATTCCTCCAGCACTAACACAAGTTAGGATAATTGGTAAATATTTGCATTAATAGTCAACTAATAACTGTATCTTTGTTTGGACCAGTTGCCCTGCAGTTAAAGACGGAAGAAAAATCTCATTCGCCAGTTGATATCCAAACTTGATTCTTCAATGGACCGCCTTTATTTACCTTTGACATTCATGAATTCAGTTTTCTATCGATCTCCTAGATGGCGTCTTGATAGGACTGGTTTCAACTAATTGCTTTGCAGTGAAAGACGATGGGCAAATATCGTTGAGTGAATAATTTTAAAGCTTAGCTTTGCATTAGAACACTTTGTATTGGATAACAAATTATTTGTTTTTGGGCTCTGGTTTCAATTAAGATTGAACTATCAAAGTTAAGCAAACGTTACTTTTTTTGAAAAAAACAGCTTTCAGGCTTTGAATTCTCTACCTTTCCACAAAAAATTGTGGGAAACTTTCCAAAGAACTCCTTACGAAGATGTGTAGATCATGTAGAGAAGTAACTTTTACTAATAAATTAAATCAATATACTTAGAGATAAAAAAATAATGAACAAAAAAAAACAATTCAAGTTTTTCACTCTCGGTGAAATTAATTAGTATTTTCACTTTATTTTTTAAAACCCCTAATTATTCAGGTAGCTTTCGGTCTTATACATTTCATTTCTCTTGGGTTTAAAATTGGTTAATACTTTTTAGACTCTTACAATCTACTGCTACAATTTACGATTGTAAATTATGAAAAAGTAATCCTGGATATGTTATAAAATCATAAACTGCTTTATCATTCCTTAAGTTATGAAAATGTTCGAGCGTTAATGATTACTGCCCTTTAGAAAAATAATTACAAACACTATTGACTACTCGCACACAGTGGAGAGTGTGTGTGACTTTTTTTTGTGATTTGATATCATTTCTGGAAAACCAACATCATTCCCAGAACCTCCTACAGACATCAGTATTTTCAGATCCTTGTTGATATTTTTCAAGTTGACGAGTTTTTCCAGACTTTCCTTCTGAGATTCATTAATCAGGATAGAATTATTTACTACTTTTGCAAATGCAACATTAATATGGGTACATAAATAAGGATCCAGTTCATCTACTTGCAGTGAATCAGCTGTAGTAGGCAATGAATAGTAGCAGACTAGCTTATAAGTTTTCACGTAATTTGCTTTCCGTTCTTTCAACTGGAAGTTGGTTTTGAATGATGAATTTTGTATGGAGTTGTATAATACGGCACGATTAATACTTTGTTCGGGTACTACAAACAAAAACAACTTTATTGTTCAGTAGGTATGCCATAACTATAACTTACCATTCATGGTAACTCCAGGGTATTTCAGACTAGGATATATTCCAAACACAATCGCATAAATTATGTAAAATAATAGCGGAGGAGTGATAAGAACAGCCAGTATTACAATCACTTTCCAGTCTACAGACCTTCCCCTAAGAAAATTATTATAAATTCCAAGTAACTATATTAAGGAGAAATTTATATACTTATCCATCCGACCTCCTGTTTGGATTAATACTCTATAACGACAAACGTCGTCAGTGAACATCATTAACACTAGGAAAATTCAGAAAATAGAAAATGAAAGGTCGTGTCCAATAAATTGATATATTCTGGACAGAAAAATCACAGCTTTCAATAAATATCTAAATGAGAAATTAGATATGTAAGTAAAGCAAACATAGACATTTCGTTTGTTTTGAAACAAATTATCAAATATCAAATCAACGGGCAACAACAATAGATATGATAACATGACTAGGTGTGACGTCACTGTAATCATGTGTCAAATAAAGCCCCAAAATTTTCACATGGAAATATGCAACACGTAAAACATCATGATGAAGTGTATGAGTGACGTAAATGCCCAGACCTGCATCTCTTCACCATTTTTTAGTTATTAGAGTCAATATTCTCTCTTCAATGGCCAGTCCATATTTATAACGTCGCTGTCAAAAATGTACTCTACATTTATATTTATCGTTGTTTTATATAGATATATTTTTATCGTGAAATTAAATTTTCTCTACAACTCTTCTTCTGAATCCTACATTAGTTCTTCTTCTCATTATTATTTTTACATTAATGGCATCAGCTGCGAGGGCTATCCAGCCCATGTTGCTACTACAGGTGGAGCTCACATTGAAGTGGATCTGGGTTAGACCCAAAAATGTCTTAGATTTGCGCTACAACACAGTTCTACTGTAATTTGAAGTCAATTAATAAGCAGTGTCAGACAGCACCCGAGGAACTGACTTGCTATAATTGTATCTTTGTACATAATGTAGTAAAATAAACATCTATCTATCTATAAGCACCAATGTGAGGTGATGCACTAGGGTTACGTGTACGGGCACTACGATCAAGTCATGATTTGCGAAGCACTGATGTGCACAAGTATTAGGTCTGTCTTGGTCACTACAGCTTTATATTGGATGCAATTAGGAGTATAAATACTTTCACGGGAAATGTTCAAGTGATTTGGCACATTCGATTCCACCAAGAGCGGTACATATCAGTAATACGCGATGGGCTGTGGCTTCCCATCATTTTGAGGTTCAACTCAGTACACCTCGTTTATTTGGAATAAACTTCCTGAGAACGTTTTTCCTAATGGATTTGATCTCCAGCGATTCAAATCCAATGTGAATCGCTACTTTCGCATAGGCACCGCTCTGAGAGCGGTGAGTTTCAAATATTCCATTGAATATCGAAATAGATAAACAAACCTTCTTGCTATACTTGAAGAAAAAAGATCAGGAAACAATCCCATGATCAATGAAAACACAACATATCAAAGAAAGGTAAAACCTATTTCAGGATCCATTCAGAATATGCTCAAATACCTTGGTACTGGAAAATTCTAGTCTTGAATAGACAACACATAACAACAATTATCAGACTGAAAACTGGACATTGCATGAATGGAGTACATTTATTTCGGATAGAGGTAAGTGATACGCCTAATTCCGAATATGGGAAACCGGAAACAATAAATCATACCTTCTTTGAATGTCCCATCAATATCATCCCTGAGTACAATATTTACCAAAAGTTTATTGAAACTGGAATACCAGCTCCGCTAGACCTAAGATATCTGAATATGAGAATTATGAAAATACTAAACAAATTTATGATAAAAAATCAAACCAAAATATAAAATAAAAGGAGAAACGGATTACCTTTGTTCCTCATCCTCGGTACATCCTAATTTGTTTTCGTAAATCAATACCTCTGTTTTGTGCTAGTTGTCATGAATCCCTCAGTAAACAGAATGATAAAGCAAAAAAAGAAGGATTAAAAGCTCAAAAAAAAATGGACGCCGGGTTGCATAACGCAACGGGGACTTGCGTCTGCAGACGAAGTTTATGTTCCATGGCGGCATATAATGGTCACAGATCACAGATGGTCTGTGATAATGGTCATACAAGAATAAAGACAGAGAGGTACAGTTTTTTCCTTAATGTAAACAAAACAGGTGTCTTAGTCACAGTATAGCTTAAATTATATACTGTGTACTGTTACTTACTTTTAAAATCATAACTTAATAGATTTTTTTTTATGTTATCATACTTTCATCAAAAAGTTTTCAATTATCATCAGTAACATTGATAGGTTAGTGAGAAAAATGGGAGAATTCGCTCTCTGAATAAAATTAAAGTTTACACATTGCAGCAGTTCCCACCCCCCAATTGTCCTAAGAAGAGTGAATATGAGTGTATTATTCAGTGATGTACCCTGGGGAATAAAAGTTTTACAGAAATTGACGGATAAGTGCTGCCCACGATTTCATATCAATAGAGAATTATGGTGAGTATTGAGTCGAAAACAGGGCTATGAAACCAGTAGCTGAATGAATAGATATGAATTTTATCTTCCCCAATCTAAAAAAAATAATAACTAATAGGTATCTCTACCATGAATATCCGAATTTCTGACAAATATATCGATATTTTTATAGGCAAAAGTGACACATTTCAAGATGAATATAGAAGGTTCAGTCAAGAGGCCCTCTCTTAGGAAAAGTGGTTTACAACTATTTCGAAAACTTGTATTGAATATTGATCTTATCAACCTTTTATAAGCAACTAAAACTCTTGGGAATTCCCTGGCACGCGATATTAAAGCTGATGTGAGAATAAGCCATAGAAAAGTAAAAATTTCAAAATAATCTGAAGTTTTTTCAATTGTATGATTGAATAATATGCAGAACTGAGTCTGTTGTAGACTTTTTGACCGGTCCAGGTTATATTTTCGTCCAAAGACGTTCATTAAAACATAACTTCGCTGGATGTATTTACTTTGTCTAATAACTCTACTTCATTTTTGCCAGCCACAGTAATTGTGGTGTCAATCAGCAAACATGGTTGTGACATTCAGAAAATAATTCAGACAGGTCATATAAGAAGTCGAGGAATAACAATGGTCCTAGGAAAGAACCTTAGGGGCACATCTAGCGTTGTGTCTTTGGGACTTGATAAAATACCATTGCAGCTAACTATTAGACTGTGGTTTTCTATATATGATTTCATCTAGTCCAATAAGTTATTTGGGAAAGCATCGGTAGTTTAATTACAAGAAACTCAGAAGCTATTGTGTCGAATGCTTTTGAAGAATCAAAAAAGCTCTATAGTGATAGAGTTTTTTCAGCAGTATTCCTTGATCTATAGAGTCAAAGGCTTCAGGAAAGTCACAGAACACTGCTGCAGATGAATGCCTCTTTTTTGTTACTATTTTCCTTATTATTTTATTACTATAAATATTAATATTTTATTTTCGTTTCTTTCCAGTTATCGATCAAGTATAGTGTTTTTAACATATATTGCGTATATGTGCTATCATTTGTCAAGAAAACCCATTTCAGTTGTGAAAGCAGTGTTACATAGGAATTGTAGCGATCTCACTCCTGAAACCAAGGATCCGAATAATTCGTGTGATTGGGCCCCTTTCGGTAAGTAAACTTGAATTAACTTTATAACTATCAGTTCTTTCAATTTTTTCATCAATTTTGAGAATGACATGCAAAAAATGAGATTCTCTGTTATTGTAAAGAGTGAGTGTAAATGAAAATTTTGAGGTATCTTGACAGTATCATCTTCAGTTAGTGAGTCTGTAGCTTAATATAATGACTGAAGGATGAAATTTATTCATATTGACCTCCAAAAGTTTTGTCTGTCTTTATGAGTCTACTTTAAACTGTATTATATCTGTGAATACACACGAAATAAGCCCATTTGAATCAGTGCATAAAAATTGGGTGATCGGGGTTCGATGAAGTCGACGAAAGCCGTTTTTGCCTGGTCCTGATTGTCGACGGGAAGTATGGTGGTTGAGGCAGTTTTTCAATGCTCCATTCGTTTAAGTTTCAGACGGTGATTGGTGAAACGTGAAGACGTGCGTCGTCGTGGAACAGGATACATGGAACGGTACATTTCGTCGATTATCTACTGTGGTTGTTTGGCCTGGTTGCAAAAATGTATAGTGAATTACATCAGCCGCACCCACCATACAGTAATCATGGTTTTTTTTGGTGGGTTTTCACCTGTGGGAAGTGCCTGGGCGGCTCATCGGTGTTCAACCACTGTTCTCAACGTCTCCTGTTTTAAAGGATCCACTTTTCATCACACGTGAGGATCCGATCCAAAAAAGTATTCCTCAGAGATGACTATTTATAGGTCATTTGAGTGCTTTCACATATCCCATCTTTCGTCTCTCCGCTTCACCAGTTTAGGGGAAGCTGACCGTAAGGCGGGAGTTGACCGTTTTCCGCTTGATTATGTGTTTTGATATCTTGCGTATTTCTATGCTAGCTTGTCCAAAGGCGTTGTTGGACAACATATTATACGTCTTCTTTAAATTTCCTCCTAACCCAGTGTTCCTCCCTCACTTGATGTTATGTTTTATATCATTTTACAATGAAAGTTCAAATTAATGAAGTTTACATTTATTATAATTAATAGTATTATTACTTTGCTATGAAAATAGTAACTGTAGTAACAGTAATTTTCTATTTGCATTTCAACTTTCAATAAACTAATCAACTTATTTCAGATGGTTCAGATGCTAGTGCATCTCAGATGCTCGGGGAGTTGGACTCTTCCTTCTTATTTTGCTATGCTATAGCTATGTTTGTGTCTGGGTTCGTGGCAGAGAGAGTCAATCTAAGGTACTTTTTGAGCTTGGGAATGTTGATGTCAGGAATTTTCTGTTATATGTTCGGACTTGCCAAAACTTATCAAATACATAGCTTATGGTACTATGTACTGGTTCAGGTGAGTACGAATATTTGCAGTATTTTTTCATCAATTGAGTATGTGATGAAATCGCCATACAATAACTTTTTCAAGCGTGTCTATACTGATTATAGACATGTCTACGTTGAGTTTAGATACGCTTGAAGAAGCTATTCAAAGTCAAAGTCAAAATATGCTTTATTGTCTGAAGATTCATATCTTATATTGAAACTGTTTGCTTGATTTACAAAAAACATAATATGGTTGGAACTCCGGAACATACAAATTACATAACCTGGCAAGTAACTGAAAATAAATTACATCTTCCTGTTCCAAAAACGAGCCAAACAAAGTATTCTTTAATATATGAAAGTAAAAAGCTGTATAATCACATACCTTACGAAATTAGGAAGGAGAAAAGCTATAAAAAGTTCAGAAATCTTATTAAAGATGCCCTTGCAACTAAAGCGTACTACAATCTTGATGAATATTACAATGGAACTTTGCTGTGTCTTTGTTGAGATATTTGCGAACCACTCTTAGTCCATACGAAATTTTGCTAAATTTGTTAGCTGTATAATCAATCTGTTTGTTCCATTTCAAGAATTCATCAATATGAAGTCCTAGAAATTTGGTGTCTTCTGAATATTATATAGTTATGTTTTCAATATTCAAAGTTTGAGGTCGTTCTATCTGTAATTGATTAGTTCTAAAAAGTATAAGATTAGTTTTAGATCCATTCAAAATTAACCTATTCCTAGTGAACCATTCTTTTGTATCATTAAACATTTCCATACTTGTTTTTACTTCTTCAGGGTATGTTTCACGGCCTATTAATAAATTAGTGTCATCAGCAAAGACTGTAATTGAATTATGTGTGTTTGAATGATAACATAAATCGTTTATGTAGATATTAAATAACAAGGGGCCCGCAATGCTTCCTTGGGGTATTCCTACTTTCACTGCCGCATTCTCAGATTTGTATGTTCGACCATGTTTGTTAATAGTTATGGCGATCTGATAGGTAAAATTCAATCCATTTCAGTGAGTTTCCTCTTATACCGTATAGTTCTAGTTTTTTTATAAGTATCTCGTGATTCAAGCAGTCAGATGCCTTTGACAGATCTAAGAACATACCAAGTGCTAAGTATTTTCTTTCCATTCAGTTTGTTATATTTTAAGTAAATTGAAATATTGCACTGTTTGTTGATCTCTCTCGTAAGTATCTGTGTTGGTTATTGCTAATTATATTACATTTATATAGAAAATTTGTAACTTGGTAGTTAACTAAGTATGTTGAAAAAAGTAATATAAATCCTTATAATAACGAAGTTACAATTTGAGAAAATGAATAACAAACTTATAATATAAGAAAATAAAATAAAAAATACTATACCAGAAAATTGAAAATTCTCCATGAAATACTGAGATGCAGTGGCAACAAAATATTCTAGGGAATCAAAATTGTTATCACATAAATTTGAAATTAATTTGAAATTATTGCAAATACTAAACATAGGTGACTTGAGCTACAAATTAGTTCTGGCCAGTTGGCTGTAAAAAGTTTTTGTACTTCTAGTTCTGAAATGAGGCACACAGAAATTTATAAAAATTAAAAATTCTTCATGAAATACTGAGATGCAGTGTCAACAAAATATTCTAGGGAATCAAAATTGATATCACATAAATTTGAAATTAATTTGAAATTATTGCAAATACTAAACATAGGTGACTTGAGATACAAATTAGTTCTGGCCAGTTGGCTGTAAAAAGTTTTTGTACTTCTAGTTCTGAAATGAGGCACACAGACATTTATAAAAGATAACACCTCCATAGCATCCACATTGTTGTGCAGTAATTTATACAGAAAAATTATTCCAGCAAGTTTTCTGCGTAATTCAAGACTTTCTATATTGAATGTTATGGTAAGAGATTCATATGGAATACCTCTATCAGGATAGATACTATGGGATTTGAAGTAAATAATCTTTAGGATCTTTAGGAAACAACGTTGAAGTTTTTCAATTAATGTATTATAGCAATTGTAGAATGGAGACAATAGAACAGAGCCATATTCTAATTTTGACCTTACGTAGGCTACATAAAGAGTAAATAGAGCAGATATGTTTGAAAAAGATCTACAATTGCGAACTATGAAGCCATAAACTCTCGATGCTTCACTCACTTTCGATCTAATGTGATTGGAAAAAGACAAAGCTTGGTTAAAATAATTGATAAAAAAAACAAACAAACAAAATTACACATATTAGGTATCGCTACTTAGTGAGGTGAAATTATACACTATAAAATAATATACATTTTCAAATAGATACTGAATATATGTATAGACAACCAAATGGAACAGAGAAGGATAACAGAAACAGTTTGTAATTACATAGCCCAATACAACACTTTAGGAAAATAGCCAGTTATAATGTATGTTGAAAATTCCCAATATTGATTACATAAACTGTATTGAGAGTAAGGCACAAGTCAGAGATAGTACTCTGATGAATTATAATATAATTGTTTAGCGAAACACGTGTTGCATTTTTGTAAAATAGTTTGGTGAAAATCTCATAATGTAAGTGTTTCTTGAATAAATGAACAGTATGGGTCCCAATATCGAACCTTGGGGTACACCAACATGTGCATCGGAAATAAATTTTGAGTTACTTTCTGTGTCTGTGGCATGTGGATTTGCTGGTGAAACTTCGATGCTATGGCTTGTCGGATCCTTTTGTATATGGCTCTTCAGCTTCCTGAAAGAACGTTTCTTGCAAGTGGCTCTCGATATATGTCTCTCGAATACTGTTACCATCAATGCTGGTGTTCCCCAAGGACCTATGTTGTCTCCAACCCTCTTATTGTATATCAACGACTTATTGGAAAAAAAACAAGAATCCAATATATTGCTTTGCTGATGACAGCACACTTGTCTCGTTAAAACATTTGGATTCTAGGACATCGACTGCGGATACATATCTTCATCGGCAGCAGAAGGATGAGGATCTAGAGGTGATTTTGAAATGGCATGAAAGTAATCAAGTTCAATTCAATGTCACGAAAACCCGGGCATCGGTTTTCTCCAAAAAGGTAAATGTCCGAACCGGGTATAATAATGCCAGGAAAGACAATTCCGTTTTTGGCTTTGATAAGTTTCTTGGGGGTTAAAATGGACACCAGTATGTCTTGGCACAATCATGTCGATGGAATTGCAAAGGCTGCTTCTCAATAGCTTAGAACAAAAAAAACGAAAATGTAACATTACTCTAAGTCCTGATACTATAAATGACTTTTACTGCTCTATTGCAGAGAATATGAGTAAAAATATTGCTAGCCCATATGATCCATTAGTGCGTGGATGAGTACCTGTCTCTGTATGACACCAACATTAATGAATTAATTGAAATCATGATGGATATTAAAAACAAAAATACTGCAGGCTACGATGACATTTGGATCAAAATAATACAAAACCTTCCTCCTAGTGCCCTAAATATACTGGTCTCACTGATAAATTTATCCTTTCAAACAGGCATATTCCCCTTTTTTCTAAAAACCTCTGTGGTTATTCCTCTGCGTAAGGGCGGAGATTCTGATGATCCCTCTAATCTCCGCCCTATATCTCTCATACCAACCATGGCAGTATTTTGTGACCTGTCAAAGGCATTCGACTGTGTTGATCACAAAATACTGCCGAGAAAGCTCCAACGTTATGGATGAACAAATGGTTCGATTCCCACTTAATGGGACGGACACAAATGGTTAAAACAATTCAACTTTCGAAAAAAAAAGGAAATTAATTCTGGAGGGCCACAAGGTTCTGTTAGGTCCCATTCTTTTCTCATTATATATTAATGACCTCACCAAGCTTAATCTTTCTGGGAAGTTCACCTTATTTGCAGATGACACTACCATACTTTGGAATAATAAAAACACTTGTGAGTTGCATAGAATAATCTCTGCCGATTTGAAAAAAGTCAAAGATTGGTGTGATTCAAACATTTTATCTTTTAACTTAACTAAAACAAATTTATTATCATAGATGCTCAATTAACGAACTTTTTTTTGAAGGCAGATCACTGGAATCTAAAAATGACACTAAATTTCTAGGAGTGTTCATCGACCAGAATTAAAAATTTGTGGATCATGTTAAACAACTCTTTAGAAAAGTCTCTTCTGGCTGTTATGCGGTTGGAGTGATTTGTAAAGAATTGGGGTTCAGCACTGCAAAGATGGTGTACTATGCACTCTCACGCTATGGAATACCATTTTGGGGAGAATGCAGTCCAAGTTTATTCAAAAGTCTACTAATTTTACAGAAAAGGGCAATACAGTATACAGGAAACCTTTAACCAAGAGACTCCTGTAGAACCTTCTTCAAAAAACATAATATTCTAACGGTAACTGCATTATTTATACTGGAATCTGTGTGTTTAATAAATAAGTATATATTAAATTTTGCTGCATCCTCTTTCCATTATAATATTCGGAACTGCAGATACACTCTGAAACTCACTGTACCAACTAAAAACATTACCAGAGACTCCATATTTTACAACACTGGAAAAATATACAATCATTTGCCTATGGACATAAGATCTGCCAATATAAATGACTTCCGATTCAGGAAGTTAGTCAAACAATTTCTATATGATAGACCCTATTATACTTTGGATGAATATTTTAACAATAACTTTTAACTGACTTACGCATATTTTTTATCTTAACTTATTAAGGAGTTCTTAAGTTGTTACTTTTTATGTCTACTCTTTAATAAACTTAACTCCGTAACTTGGTTACGAAGACTTTTAGGAAAAAAAGTTATATGAAGTACTGGTGATATTTTGACTCCATCTATACATTCCCGAGAGGAAAAGAGGAAGTCCAGGGACACCCTGTATATATCTATTATATCCTCCATTTTAACATAGTTTGTACCCATGCATAATTTATATTTTTATTTTAATTTCAGTTGGTATGCATTGCATTTTTTAAGTATGTACTACTCAAGCTTTGTCTACAAGATTATGTCTTATGATAATAAAGCATATTATTATTATTATTATAATCCGTAAAATGGCTCTGAGACAGGTGGATTTATTGCTTTGGGATTTCTGAGATGTCTTTTCAGCTTCAGTTATGTTACAGGGCTTGGCAGGTATCTTCCAAACAACAGGATGGCCAGGTGTTGTTACTGTAATGAGCAACTGGTTTGGCAAAAGTAAAAGAGGTCTAATTTTTGGCATTTGGAATTCCCATACAAGTATAGGAAATATTTTAGGTGAGAAAATAATTTATTTTGTTGAGGACACGGGCGAATACCTAATTGAACTCGGTTGCCCTCTGAACTCAACTTCAGTGGCAGTGGTTGGGGTGACTGATACTTCAGATGGATTTTCGCGTCTTGTCCTTGATAAGACTTTGCTTTCCCCAGCTCTCTCAAGTCTCTCGAAGACTTGTCAGACCATTCTGAAAAGAGTTGTTTTTTAGGTTCTTTGATTGCAGCACAATATGTTGAAACTGATTGGGCACTCTCCTTCGTGATGCCGGGTTTCTATGTTGGTATAGTAGGATTTATACTATTTTCATTTTTAGTAGTAAACCCAGCTGATGTTGGCTGTGCAACTTCCAATGCAGGACATGAGGATCGCACGGTTAGTGTTTATTTTTCATTTCAGAATTCAATCAAAGTATACTTTATTGTCTGAACATATTAATTTATAATTATAAGAAGAAAATCCGTAATTGGAAAATATCTGCAAATATGTAATCCTCAAGATAGATAGATGGATCAAATTGAGTCAAAAGACGTTTTGAGACAGTTTAATAATAATGGTTACATTATTAGTAGTGAAGTGAAAATATCTCACAACCAACATCTTCATCAAAATAAAGATGAATTTATGCAACTTTCTACTTAGTTCAATTGATGTAATACTTATTAGCATAGCATCGAAAACTTTTACTCAAACCACTGACACATTTTTAAACATTTAGAGCAGTGTCTGTCCAGATTTATTTTGAAACATTTCTCTCAATCAGAAGAATAAAATATGTCAGTTCCTGAGGCCATATTTCTGCAACGAACCTTTTTCCTGAAGTACGAAAAATCACTCACTAGCAGCGCTAGTAGTTCATACAGTACAATTAAAAAAGAATGTTTTTAACAGAAGAAAATGTTCTTGGAGCACAATTAAAATTTGCAACTGTAAAGAATAACAATGTTGTAACATTAAAACGTTGGCTTGCATGCCGCAATTTAAAAGTAACTGGAAAAAAGTGAATTAATAGACAGGTTAGTGTACAGACTCTAGTAAAAGAGTAGCGGTCGATTCAAACTGTAATGAAAGAAATTTAAAATAATTATGAATTTCAGATTTATTTCCGAGTAAAATATGAATCAAATATAGATGGTAATGAAATACATTTAATGAAATATAATGAATATAATTTATTAAATGATTGAGGTTATATCTTATTCTAATCAATGGTAATTAACTATGAAAAATATACTATTCATCTCATGTTTAGAGCATACATATGAATATTTATTTATTTTTTGCATTGTTAAATTCACTCTCCTCGAAGCATGTATCCATTTCTTACATCCAACCTCATCATTATGAGGTTTTATAAATGAAATAAAAATAGTATATTGTGTAACAAGTGCGTGAAATCGACTTTTTTACTCAAGCGTGGAATTTGCGACACGAACCCTCAGGCGAGTGTCACAAACAACGCGAGTGTAAAAAAGTCTCCACGCACATGTTGCACACTATACTTTTTCTACGACCATACAGAGAAAATTAAGCACCATTAGTTTAAAGAGCTTTATTGAATTTCAGAATAATTAGTAAGTACCTATATTAAACGATTCGATAAGTGGTTAAACATATCTTTAGAAAAATACAACTCACAATTGCGAATACATAGACAATAACTTAGATGAATACTTTTCCTAAGGTACATATCAATTTCGAAAAACTAAAGTAAAAACTGACTCGAAAAAAAATATTACGTAGTATAAAATTCCTCTGGTAATCTTTTTTCTATATGGAAAACTAGTCTCTGAATGGACTTTGGAGTCAATGTAGTCAAGACCAACTTCGTCAACATCTATGTCTACATGGTGAATACCGCTCTGGGAAATTGTGTCTTTTTCTGTACTTGGTCTAACATGAATGCGGCCATGTCCATATACTTCTATATCACTTTCTTCCATAACATAGGGGTCTTGATAAATTCGACTTTGATGTGTGGGTGATATTGCCGACCCCTTGTTAATATTGCCAAATTGATGGTTGCCATAGTGTACTCTATCATTTACTACATTCGAATAACGATCATGGTGGAATTTGGTGTGTTTATTGACATTTTCGATACCTGTGAAAGCTGAGTTCGCATCATTCACAAGTACGGGCAGATGGCGTCCTAGAGATATGTAATATCCATTCACGTATTCTTCTATGGCATGTCTTGAGGCTTCGGGAGTTTGATGGTCAGGGTGGTACTGGTGTGAAGACAGTTTGCCTACCAGGCAGATCAAGATGAACTGAAAATTAATATGGGTATCAGCGAGGGATTCATTCGAATAATAATTAACGATTATTCATTGGTGGCTGGAAGATACATGTGCGTTTGTACTTACGCAATAGTAAAATGTTTGATTTTAATAGAGTGGTTTTCCAAAAAAGAAATTGATGAAATGAAGTTGATACGATATAGATGTTTAAATATGTTTAATGATGAATGGAANCCAAGTCACGTTAGTTCACGACGTTTCGATCGTTAGTATCTACGTCTTCGGGTGATGACATTCATTTTCAATTCTGTTTTTTTTTTGTTTTTTTTTTGTTTCAGGGATTTCAAATCATTTTATAATAGACAATGGAAGTCCGAACTAGTGAAATTCATCATGAAACATTGTCAATCACCTTCAAACAAACAGAATTTCATTTACAATACACCAGTCCTGAAATACATGAACTGTTAAAAAATAAGGCGAATGTTCAAATTTCGCGCGCTACGTACATTCGATCAGCGATTTTTTGTATGTTGGTACACTCGTCTCGAACAGTGGTACAAACTTTTCACTGATGGTCGAGAAGATGTGAATAATGACGCTCCAGTACATCAACAACCAATGAAAATGTGAAAGTGAAGAAAATCGCTATGGATAATCGTCGATTTACTATTAGAGAAGTTGCTGAGTATGTCGACAGATCGGTTGGCTCATACCATCCAAATTTTCTGTAAATTTTGAACACACACTCTCTTTGACAACCTTAAGGTGTCTCAAGGCGGCATCCACAAAGGTTTTGGAGGGTGCAGCGACATTACTGTCGTTGCACGGCTTCTTCAACCTTCCTGGGGTTCCTATAGTGGAGGTGTTCAAGTGAGGGCGCTTTCCTGCAGGGGCAGCCAGTTCATTGCCTTTATTCAAGGTGGAGCTCTTGGCGTCCGCCGCAGGAAGTGCTCTTGCTGTTAGAGGTGGAGTGGGGAAGGAGGAGAGTTCACTTATATTTGCTGCCACTCCTGCCTCCTTTGCCCTCTTTCTCCTTTTGGCCACGGTGCCGCAAATGCGCTTACGCCTTGGCCTTTGTATTACATCACGAGGTGATCTGCTATATCCAGCCTCATTCCAAGCGGTAGATTGGGGTGGACATTTCTGTTCATCCCCAGCTACCGCCTTAGATCGAGGTGAGCACTTCTACCCAGTCTAGCGATTGGTTTTTGTTGTTTCTGTTTTTGTGTTTGTTTCATTCATGTGTGTTCCCACTAGAAGCAAGGGAAGAGTTGGTCACCTCTGGCATAGCCCCGCATTACCAGAGGAAGGCTGATTACAATGAGGTTTCGCCTAGTTCCTCAAGGGGATCGTTCGTATCCGCATATCACCAAGTTCTGAGATCCGAGGTATTGATCTGGGTGTACCAGAAGGTTCAATTTTGGGACCAGTACTATTTATATTCTATATAAATGACTTTGATCACCTATCAGTACCAGCATCATTTACTTTATATGCTGATGACACGTCAGTTCTTGACGGAAAAATGCCAAGAAGTCTTTAAACAATTGAATGGTTGGTACTCTGCTAATAATTTATTCCTGAATATTGAGAAAACAAATTCTATGAGGTTCCACCTTCGTCTAAAAAGATGTGAGGATATTGAGTTTGGATTCGATAACACACATATTTCCTCCAAGAATAATTCGATCTCCTTCCTAGGCTGTAAGCAATTTTTTCAAAAATATAAGATTTTAACACTGGTGTCTATTTTGATTTTCGAACTATCAGTATGGTCTTTTCAGCAGAGAGATACCTTACTCCAATCTTATCTATACTATATGAGATTGTTGAGTGTAATTGGGCATGATAGTACATGAGTACCACCGACTTATCTATAATTTTACTGAGTTGATAGATACAGTAATAGACTCAATGTATCTTTGAAATCACCCCAGCTATGGCACCCAGAATTTTCAATAAGTTATCAGTTGAAATAAGAAATATACTTCCAAAAAACGTCTGCGGGACTATTTTGTAATGGGGATTTCTGATCCCATAGTTCTAAACTCATTTTCAGCATTCATCATCATAACAAAGCCTTCATTGATATTATTTGAACACGCCTGTGAACTTTATGAAACGAACCAAACTAAAGTTGATAACATTTTTTATAGAGACGATACAGGCCTTTGGACAGTCAAATGATAAACGAAGACAACTCATCAGGCATCAGCTCAGACGTTGATGACACCGACATCATTGTCGGAGAACAAGTAAGTTCAGTAAAAGCAAAGCTTCTGAGCTACTATTCAATTAGATTGAAGTGCATTCGTCCAAAGCATTCATTAGTTTCATTGTTTTACCAAAACTTCGTTTTGTAGGCTATCATTTCCCGATCACGATATTTGGCTGAAGAAAATTTAGTAAGTGGCCGATATTTTATTATAGAAATTGAATGTTTTTTTGGCTTTGCTGTGCTTGTTTTGGAGCTAGCTTTCTCTTTGGTATAGTGCATTCAGTATGAAGGTGTTTATATTTCGTTTTGCTTAGAATTCATTTTTCATCACATACATATCTTAGTTTGAAGCAAATATTAAAACAACGTTGCACACAAAACAATTTCTGCTTGAATTGTGTGTTTTTATACATTATTGGAGTTTCTTTAGGATCATATGCTAGACATCAAATTACAAACTGTATTGGATCCGCAAATTTCTCATATTTATCAATTACGATAAACACAATAAAACCTAAAGAAATGAACTTTAAACGTTCAAGCCAGTCTCAAATATACCTACACAGTAGGTTGAATGGATTGACGCCTATCAGAAAACAACTACTCCACTGGCTAATACCACGAAGGGCGTTGGATCATATCCGACAGGGCATTGAATTATATCCAACACTGACGCCTGTCGGATATGATCCAACGCCCTTCGTAGTATTAGCCAGGGGAGTAGTTGTTTTCTGACAGGCGTCAGTCCATTCAACCTACTGTGTATGTATATCCGAGACTGGCTTGAACGTTTAAAGTTCGTTTCTTTAGATTTGTTTACTGCCAGTCTTCAAGCATAGCCCACTGACTAATAAGAAAAATACAATAAACATTGTGGCTTTGAAGAAACGTTCCATGTTTCTTCCTCGCTTGGGGCTTTGGGGAAATGAGCGAAGAGCTTGAGTAATACTGAAATGAAAAGATTAAAATACATGGACTATATGAAAAACCATTTTGTTCCTACTGAAAGAACAATAAAAATCAGCCAATGATGTGTAGAGAATATTGAAAAGGTTGGAATCTATTGTGGAAAAAAATATTCAGAAATTGTTTTCTGCCAGTTTACATGCAGATAAATATTGCAGAGAAATATTCAGGTAATATTGCACTATTCATTGTAATCAAATGACGTTTTTTTTTCAGGAAGTTCAAAGGAGAGTGACAGAACGCACCACTTTGTTATCTAATTCATCTTGTGGGACTCCTGATAAAGCCATTGGATTTTTGAAAGCTTGTTGCATTCCCGGGGTTTTGGAATACTCATTAGCTTTATTTTTCTCCAAACTAGTCAGTTATACATTTTTATATTGGCTTCCGTTGTATGTGAATGCCTCGAGTAAGTTGAATAAAAAATTCTGTTGCAAGTAGGTAGAAAACCATTCATCCACATATCTTCTTAGAGACTTGTCAAGAAAATTTATATTGTTACTAAGAAGTTATCATCATTTTGAATGTAGAATGAAAAATTTTATTACTTGAGTTGTAGCAATATTTAGTTTGCAGTTGGTGTCTACTGATTCATTCCACTATAATTTCTGGAGCAGTATAGATATTTACAGGAGCATAGAAAAGCCACATATTTTTATTTTTCGTTTCTTGGAAATTATGAATTTGAAACGCGAAACTTCTACTTTGATCTCGAAATTTTGACTTTAATCTCGAAATTTCGACTTCAGTCTTGTAATTTTCATATCAAAGTCGTGATTTATAAGAAACGAATAATGAAAATATGCGGCTTGTGTTCCCGTAGATATTTATCCTTATTGAAATTTGTGTCCTATGTAGAGCATTCGATAGATATTTGTTGTTGTTTTGTATAAATGATGAATCAATATGTTGTCGCAGTGAAAAAAAAAACCCAAAAAAATATATGGTTTCAATTCTTGAAATATTCATTATTTGTTTGTAGCAACAATGGGCGCTACCCTCAGTGCAGATATGTCTACACTTTTTGACGTAGGTGGAATAGCAGGAGCTATCATTGCTGGAGTAATAACAGATAAAAGTGACATGCCTGCTTCAACATGTGCTTTCATGCTGATTCTTGCAGCTCCTATGGTAAGAAATGTCCCATTTATTCTAGTTTTTTGTTTTGCTGGAGTTGCTGGAGTATCATGGGTTTGTCAAGAAAAATGAATGTTATCTTCGTAAGATTGAATGGGGCGGAGGGGGTATTCGCGAGCGCTTTCATACTTGCGCTTGCTTGTGTGTGCATGCTCTCTCTCTCTTGCTTGCATGTGCGCGAGCTCTCTTGCTTGCGTGTGTTTGTGCGTTCGCTCGCTCGTGTGCGCGCGCGCTTCCCTCTCTTTTGCTTGCGTATGCACGCTCGCTCTCTTGATTGCATGCGTTTGTGCGCGCTCTCTATTTCTTGCTTGCATGTGTTTGTGCGCTCGCTCGATTATACGTGCGCGTGCTCTCTCTTTTACTTGCGTATGCGCGCTCGCTCTCTTGTTTGCTTGTGTTTGTACGCGCTCCCTCTCCCTGGCTTGCGTGTGATTGTGTGCTCGCTCGTTTGATCGTGCGTGTGTCCGCTTGCTTGCGTCTGCGCGCGCTTGCTTGTGTGTGCGTGCTCTCTCCCTTGCTTGCATGTGCGCGCTAGCTCTCTTGCTTGCGTGTGTTTGTGCGTTAGCGCGCTCGCTCTCTTGCTTGCGTGCGTTTGTGCGCGCGCACTCTTTCTTGCTTGCATGTGTTTGTGCGCTCGCTCGTTTATGCGTGCGCGTGCTCTCTCTTTTAATTGCGTATGCGCGCTCGCTCTCTTGTTTGCTTGTGTTTGTGCGCGCTCCCTCTCCCTGGCTTGCGTGTGTTTGTGTGCTCGCTCGTTTGATCGTGCGTGTGTCCGCTTGCTTGCGTCTGCGCGCGCTTGCTTGTGTGTGCGTGCTCTCTCCCTTGCTTGCATGTGTGCGCTAGCTCTCTTGCTTGCGTGTGTTTGTGTGTTTGCGCGCTCGATCTCTTGCTTGCGTATGCGCGCTCGCTCTCTTGATTACGTGCGTTTGTGCGCGCGCTCTCTTTCTTGCTTGCATGTGTTTGTGCGCTCGCTCGAATATGCATGCGCGTGCTCTCTCTTTTAGTTGCGTATGCGCGCTCGCTATCTTGTTTGCGTGTGTTTGTGCGCGCTCCCTCTCCCTGGCTTGCGTGTGTATGTGCGTTCGCTCGCTCGTGTGCGCGCGCGCTCCTGTCTCTTTTGCTTGCGTATGCGTGCTCGATCTCTTGCTTGCGTATGCGCGCTCGCTCTCTTGCTTGCGTATGCGCGCTCGCTCTTTTGATTACGTGCGTTTGTGCGCGCGCTCTCTTTCTTGCTTGCATGTGTTTGTGCGCTCGCTCGATTATGCGTGCGCGTGCTCTCTCTTTTACTTGCGTATGCTCTCTCTTTTACTTGCGTATGCGCGCTCGCTATCTTGTTTGCGTGTGTTTGTGTGCGCGCTCGTTTGATCGTGCGCGTGTCTGCTTTCTTGCGTCTGCGTGCGCTTGCTTGTGTGTGCGTGCTCTCTCCCTTGCTTGCATGTGCACGCTAGGTCTCTTGCTTGCTTGTGTTTATGCGTGTTCTCGCTTGATTGTTCGGGTGGGCGTGTGTGTGTGCTTTTTCCTTTACTTGTGCGCTCGCTAGCTCTCTGGCTTGCGTGTATTTGTGCGCTCGATTGTGCGCTCTCTCTTGCTTGCGTGTGCTCGCTTGCTCTCTTGCTTGCGTGTGTTTGTACGCTCCCTCGTTTGATTGTGCGTGTGTGCGCTCGCTTGCGTCTGTACACGCTCTTGCTTGTGTGTGCGTGTTCTCTCCCTTGCTTGCATGTCCGCTCTCTTGCTTGCTTTGATCAGTTAGTGATAAGTGTTATTTTTGGTCTATTTCGAAGGAAATACCAATGGCAAAGCCCAATTTCAACTAAGTCTGTCAATAAAATAAATCCCATGTATTGCATTCAGCAAAGAACCTGTACAAACTGATACAGGGCACAATATTGTTGGAATGGGTGTTTTCCGGAGACTTGGAAGAAAATGACAAGTTAGGTGGCTCCCAAGTAGTAGGAAAAAAACCCTTATAGGTGGACTGTTTAAAAAATAAGCATCGCTCAGAAAGTGCTGAATAATATCAACGGCGATCCAAATTTCCTAAAAAGGGTCATAACTGGTGACGAATCATTGTATGTGGTTATGACATCGTAACCAAAGTACAATCGTCCCAATGAAAGATAATATTAGAGCCAAGACAAAAAAAACACGCCAAGTTCGATCAAATATCATGGTTTTGCTCACTGTTCCGTTAGATTACCGTGCCATACTGTATTGTGGAAAAACATTTCATAGCTTTTGCATCATAATAATGCACCTGCTCACTTATCATTGCTTGTTCGTAATTTTTTGGCCACCGTATTCACCAGATTTGGTCCCCTGCGACTTTTTCCTGTTCTCAAGATTGAAGAGACCCATGAATGGACGCTGTTTTGCGACGATTGAGGAGATAATTACCAAGTTTATTATATCTAAGGGAAACTACTTCGAAGGGTACAAAATATAAATTGATGAATAAATAAATATTTTTTGAGAAAGATGAAATTCACCTCATTATACTCATGCAATATTTTCATTGACTTTACGGACTTATGTTACTTTTGCAGATGATCATTTATGAAAGAGTAAGTTCGGTGAGCTTAGGTTTGAACATGATTCTTTTGGTGATAGTTGGATTACTGGTGAATGGACCTTACGCCTTGATTACAACTTCAGTGTCAGCTGAATTAGGAACTCATGAAAGTTTGGAAGGCAATTCGAAAGCTCTCGCTACTGTGACGGCCATCATTGATGGAACAGGATCTATTGGTGAGTAAGCTATTTTTTTCAAAGTCATTGAAGGCTGATTCGACTGCATAGGTTCATTAAAGAAAATTGTTTGTTGCGCGTGGATTGTTCAATAAGTATTCAGAAAATGGAGTATGCTTTGTTTTAGTGAACATGACTGGTTGAAAGACAGCTATTCATTACTTGGTTTCATTATATTGTTGTTGAAGCAATACTGAAGGATGTTTATGAATGGGGAATGGTTCCTCCTGACGAAAATCAAGTAGGTTTCATAAAAGAGCTCTAAAACAACGCAGTTTAAACTTATCATTTCAACCTTTTTCTTTAAAAAATTATTTAAATACCTAAAAAAGAGGAATGAAATAATGCATTCAACATTTAAAGGGATTCGTTTCTATTTTTTCAAACTTGCATTTGCTGTAATAACCCTAATTGAGGAACATTCCCCATTCTCTAATTCGTTACTTGATGAAGATTAATAACACTTTCCGTGGAAAACATTCTGAAATGGATTGAAAATTATCTTGCTTGCTCAGTCCAATATGCAAAATATGGTAACACAATATCTTTCTCAAACATAGTTCCATCTGGTGTACCGCAGGGATCTCATTTAGGACCATTATTTTGCAACCTATTTTTAAATGACTTAAATGCTATTATTCTCTATAGCCAATTTCTTCTATTTGCAATGATCTGAAGATGTTCAACATTATTCTTGATTCATCTGATACTGAATTATTACTAACTTTGAATGTTGATGTGATATAAACATATTGCAATTGAATATAGACAAAAGTCAAAAATTTACTTTTTTCCGAAACAAAAATTTCATAAATAGGCCATATGAAATCACGCAATTGGAACTAGAAACAACAAATACAATGAAAGATTTAGGAATCATTCTTGACCCAAAAATGTAATTCAAACCCCATATTGCAAATGTTACTTCTAGAGTACTAAAAATGTTAGGTTTCACTCTCAGATCTGCAGAGGAATTGTCTCTTACTTCCTTACAAACCATATACTGTTTCATTGTTAGATCAATAATCAAATACAACTCAACAGTTTGGTACGCTTTATAAAATGTGGATTGATATGATTGAGAGTGTTTAAAACAAGTTTTTAGGGTACTCTGCATACAAACTGGGATATTTCCAAAGAAATGAACTTCAAACATTCAAGCCAGTCTCGAATATACCTACACAGTAGGTTAAATGGACTGACGCCTATCAGAAAACAACTACTTCCCTGGCTAATACCACGAAGGGCGTTGGATTATATCTAACAGGCGTCAGTGCAGGAATCTGCACAGAAAGTGTCCTGCCAGTCTTCAAGCATAGCCCATTGACTAATAAGAAAGTTTTTCTTCCTCATTCAGAGGAATCGGGCAAATTACGGATATGGAGTTGGTTAGTACCTCGTCCACTAGATGGAGTAACATTTTGTTGTTTCGCTCCATCTTAGGAAGAGGAATGAAATACTCTGAAAGAATTCCGATTTTCAATTGTGGAATATCATTGACTTTAGGTCGATGATGGTCACTATCTTGCACCGACGAGTGGCTCAGGAGCCCGAAACCGGTCTGCAAGTGTGCCCGTTCCAAAATTGAAGGTCGACTCTTTCAGTTGTATTGCCAATTTCATATGCAGGATGGTAAAGTTAAAATAATCGAAGTGTACATAAAAATACAGTTCATTTTATGTGAAGTTACTATTTTCAGGTGCAGCGGTAGGACCTCTACTGGCCGGATTTGTTTCAAATTATGGATGGAAATACGTTTTTCTAATGCTAATGATCTCGGATGTCCTGGCACTTTTTCTCCTCATACGACTAGTGAAGCAAGAAATATATAAGTTCCGAAACGGTCGAAGATCAGGAATTCGATTGGAATGAATATAGTAAATCTAAGTGAATGTTAATTTTATGTATATTTTAGCAATTGATGTGATAAACAGAGATCAGTTTTGTTGGGTTTTTTGAAATATTTTTCAGAAGACGAGTTATGAATTTTATGTATTTTTATTTCCCTGAGATTAGTTGGATATTGAAACTATTGTAATTTTATTTTCAGAAGGTACTAGTTCTCTTACTCAAACAGTTTTTTTACAAATGTAAAATATAAACTTTGTATTTTAGAATTTCTAGTTTTCTACCTTGCAGGTAATGATTTTATTAGTCATAGACTAAGTCACTATAAATCACAAGATTTTTTCAATAGTATTTTCAATGATCAACTATACAGACTTTTTCTAGTTATGGTATAAGCTGATGAGTAGTTCATTTGGAATTGTGACAAGTGACACCAAGTTTGATCAATTAAAATATGTGAGAATCTGTCATTTTCAATATTTTGCTAAGCAAATGACTTTACTAATAATTGCTAATTTATATTAGCTTTACCTGTATGTATGTATGTTTGTTTGTAACTATCAAGCTTGGGATCTGTATTTGACAGAATTATACATTATTACTTGATCTATTCGCGGGCAGATGGCGCTGTACGTAAACTCCTGTCATGGCATGAACCAACTGATATGTCGACATCCTCAGCATCTTCTCTAATAGCGATTCGATGATTCTCCATAACAATTTTCTTTAAATTCTCAACATTTTCATCGGTTCTTGATGTGCTGGGGCTCCAAGGCGAGCGTCGTCATTCACGTCTTCTCGACCATTTGTGAAAAGCTTGTACAACTTGTAAACATTTTTCTGATTCAGAGTACAATCACCGCATTTCAAATGTTCAGTTTCTTACACAAAATCGATGCAAATTTTTCAGTCAATATTTTTCGATAGCAGAAAATCGCTGAACACGCAGAACACTTTCAACTTTAATGCCTCTCACCAAGAAACGAAACATGTTTTACAGCTGAACATATGTTCGAGTTGAGTGTATGACATAAATAAAAATCGCTAATCGAATGTACTAAGCCCGAGAACTTTGAACATATACCTTCTTTTTAACAGACCTTGTATGCATTTTGATTGATGGAACTTGGCGTATGAGGGATACATGTTGAGATTATTTTCAGAAATAAAAGGAACGATGATGGGAGACGAGTATATACAGGTTTAGTGCATTTAATTTCTGCGAAACTTTATGAACACTGCCGAGCCTTCAACTGTTTCTTCATTGGAAATGATAAAATTTTTTTTTTTCAATCAAATAATGAACATTTTACTTCACAGACATCCAATTTTTACTTTTATTCTACATTTCATTGTGCCTTTAATATTTTTCAGTATTTTCTATACATGTAGATTATTGAAATTATATAAAAATTGTATGCATTATTTGTAATAGAAAAATTATATTTTTTAAGAATATATGTAAATAGTATTCTTGCAAAATGTGGGAATGGTATTTTATTTTGTTCTGTCTGGTAAATCAACTTGCCCTTTACTCATTGCAGATAAATTGAACATTACGGAACCTGATACAGTAATCTGTTGCTTAGCATCACTTTTCGTTTTCGAAAGCAATAACTTTTTATTTCCAACTTCTGGCCAGCCCTCACTCAAAAATACTGATTAGAAAATTCACTAAAATCTGTACAAGCTGTCCGCGGCTTTACATATACTCAACTACTCTTCAACCAACCCTACTGAAAAAAGAGTATATTCAAGAAACACTATTGTGAGATTTTTCACTAAACAGTTTTACGAAAACCCAAGACGTGTTTCGCTATATGATAGCTTCTTCGGGGGTGTCTTTACTATATGCCTGAAGACACGCCAGTTTTACAAAACGCAACACAGCCGATTATAAGGATGCAATGTGAAACAAAACTTTCGTCTGGTCTTTAGCTTTCCAAAAATATTTTCAGAATCATCTTCATATTCTTCGAAGTAGCAAAATAAAAGAACCATCCAAATTCCTGTGACTTCTAGAGGAATATATGATGGAATTGGCCCATACTTGATGAAAATGCATAACTAACATATTCAAAAAACACTTTATTGGGGATTTTCACTAAACAGTTTTTTTCCAAAAACGCAACACATGTTCTCCAGGTGTGTCTTTACTTTATGAGTTTTGACATGTCCAAAAAAGCCATTGTATGGACAAGAAAATGTTACAATAAAGAGTTTTTTTGAATACGTTCTAGAGAAATCCTCACACCTGTAAACATAAAACACTTTTTATCAAATAACCACAACCACTCTTGATATTTTTTAGTGTAGAGTTACACAATTCAAATTATTTATTTCCTTGAAATGACAAAAAATGTAAAGGATATTGTATTCATACATAAAAAGACAAAATATATATATCTACATATATACAAGAATGAACAAGGAAAATATACACAGTAGCAAATCACATTGAATTCTGCTCAATATTATAAAAACATTTCTTTGACAGAAACGATTCCAATTTGTTTACCATTATGCTGCCTAATTGGCCCAAAAAGTCAGCTTATTTTCAACATATACCATAAAAGTTTCTGACCATTAACTGTTACTTACTCTGATAAATTCCACCTTTTCCTTTATATTTTAATTTTTTGTTGAAAAATTGAGATTTTGGCAAAATGTATCACTTTCCTTCAGAAATATTTTCAGATGATCAAGTCCTTTGAAAGCTTAAATAAATATTTTTCAATTCTGTAGATGAATTGAAGAGTTTTTGGATAACTTCAGATGTAGCTAATGCTCTTGCAGAGAGTACTCCAAATTGAGTATATACATCGATACCAGTAGACACAGTCACTCAATATTTGAGTAGCTAATTCTACCTTCATATACAAAAATAAAGTAATGTTATCAGGTAAATCAAGAGTACTGAAAAATTGGAATCGGACTTTTAACATTACGGAACAGTGCCTTTGACCCCTCTATCTTTCCGGCACAGTCTATGCTTCCGGCAGAGAATATGGTAGGTATTCTCGGCTTCCGGTTGAACCTCAGAGTAATAATATAACTAGAGATGCCTTTCGGTCCTTGTTTCTGAAGCCAACATTACCTTGTTTATATTTATGACAGTACTCCAACTAACAAAAATAGATAATACGGGTTCGGGTTTTATCGCGTTCTGATGTTGCTCATGGTAATACAAAGAAGTTGCTGTCCGTTTTCCATCGGCATTAAATTGTTTGTTAATATGTCGTCGAGGTTATTATTTATTTTGTCGGTTTTGGAAGTTTTTTTGTTGATTCGCGTGCTCATTGACCGATATAATGAATTTGTAGTGCAAAAATTAATTTTGAAGATGGTGAAAACCTCAAAAACCTTTACATAAAATTTTACAGACAATTGATCACAATTTCCGGACCCAAAAACACCTTGACTTTGTATTTTGAGTATAATTATCATAAATCATCAAACTCATCTTGAATTTCAACCCAAAATTCATAATCTGCGACATTACAAGCCTTTTAGATTCTAATTTTGGAACCAGTTCAGAGTATTATGTATACAATTTCCTCACTTCACATTCTACTGCGGGAGAGATGAATATCCTGGTTGTTTACAAATCTGTTGTGTTTGTATAGGTATTTTCTATTACTCTGAGGGTTGAACCATGGCATAGAACACTAAATTTTGTTTCTTCTGTGGTGGCCATTACCAAAAGTGTGTGTTCTCTGTCATTTATCAGCTTCAACCAATGAAAAATGCAACCAGAGAAGTGACCGTCCGTTTGCGGGAGAGTAGGATTTCTGATTGTTCATTATTCTGTGGATAATATGATATTAATGCAATACGTTACGCAATGCTAACTAGCAATGCAAATTGGAGTACTGAGTCGCGCAAGATGAATACCATCAACTTCACGTACACTGTTTGGGTGTCGTATGACCAAAACAATACTGCTTCTCAACGAATGTCGCGTTGTGATGTTCCAAAAATGGAATATTCGACCTCCAAAGATTTATTTTCTTAGTGTCGTTAACTGATATCCAATCAAAACCAATTACTTTGCTCTGGAGGATGTAACTGAATCATATTTTCTTCGCATATAATCCGGCATTCAGTATAACAGAGACATAATTTCTTTCAGAAGAAATTTCAATTATCCATGAGTTTTGAACCCGAAAAATAGTGACACTCAATCTATAACGTATTCACGAAACACTTTATTGTGAGATTTTCACAAAACATTTATATTTTGACAGTTTATCTCGGACTTCATTGGCTGTTAAGTCTGGGTGAGAAGATGTATAGACGGAAAAACATGGATTCAAGTTCAGCGAATCTATGCAAGCGTTTGAAAATTTGACTTTGACATAGATATAGAAGGATGCGCACAAAAAAAAATTAGGAATTCAGTGACTTCATTACTACTACTTTATTGTAGTACGAAAATAATTTATCGAATGGCAACCCTGGTCATTCCTTCATTAGTGTTCTGTGCTGTGTCTTGTCATACTTGTCATAATCATTTCATTTTCATCATCCTATTATTTTATATCAATTACTTTACAACAAAAATCAACTTTGTTGAAAAATGGATTTGTCAAAGGCATCAAATGAGAAGAAATTATATCTCTGTAAATGGTATTTCAGAAGTAGGTCAGTTGAATTCAAAATTTTGGATAACTTTTGAATTTCTTTTCAGTTGGTATTTTCTTACTTCCTTTTGTATGGGCAGTAAATGCAGTATGGTTTTTCAATGAGGCCTTTAGGAAACCGGAATACGAAGAACAAAAGCACATTAAAAAATGTTGGTGGTTATTCCCTTTTTCCAACCCTAAATAGAATATTCATACAAATCATGCTATGGAATGAATTTTGAGAATATAACATGCAATTCTGTTACAGATGTGATATTTTCTGCAGTTGGATCAGTGATTTGGTTTACTGCACTGGTAACATGGGTTGCTATTTTTCAAATCAACAGAGCCAATTGGGGCGAGTTTGCTGACTATATTTCATTTATGATACCTGTGGGAACACCTTGAAGACATCGAAGATCTCACCATTGGCCCTTTTATACTAAGAATAGAACTGAACAATTCAAATACTAATAATTTTTCAGATAATTGTGTTTATTTGCTCTTCATACTATTGATATTGATTGTATTAGCAATCTTTGTCAACTATTATTGGAAATGAAAAGTAGACAATGTTGGACTGTGAACCAAAGATAATTTTATTTACAGTTTGTTGCACAGTAACATAAAGTACACACTTTTTTGAACTATGGAATTTAAAACAGTGCATATCAGAATAAAACTGTTAAATAAGCGTTTTAAGAGTTTCTTAAAATAGTTAACTGAAGTCTTTTACATTTCGTTATTTACTTGGTAAGGATTTGCTGCCCATCATTACACATTCACATGAGAAATTTCATGCAGAAAACACTCGACCTAACTGTGTATTTTCAAAATGTCAAAAAACTGTTGTGTTCAAACTATGATACTATAATTTTACTAGTCAAATAGTTGATTAGATGTAAAAGGTTTCAACGCATATAGATTTGATAGAGACCAAACAAATAGTGATATAAAAAGATGCTAAGGAAATGGTAAGGGCCACAAAGGAACCTTAGATAACGGAATTGATCGAAATCCTTCCTAGCAATGTAGAACATCTGCATGCTGAATTATTGATAGGGGCGTCAACAATTATTATCGGAGGTGTATATATTCCCCTTTCTTCTGAGATGATTATATGGAACAATCTGCAACCGTTCAATGAAGCTCTTCGTCTGAATGTTGATTGTCAAAAAAACTTGCCTGCACTAGCTTCGATACATTAATTCAGTTTCCATAATTCATACCAAATCGATAAAATTCCAAATTCAAGAAATGTGCTGCTTCGTTTCCTCCTGTTCATGAAAGAGGACATATGCCTCATTGCTCACAAGTGATTTTGGCGAAATTGGGAACACGTGTGAATCGTATTCATGCCACGTGCCACTATATGGGTGTCTGCAATATGCTGTGTAATGTCCATTGTAAGTAGTCCCACTGTGATTTGAAAGTGCATATAGATTATAACGACAAGGAGCCACATTGTCTGCGGCATAACTGCTCATATCTAATCCATCTGAAGAAAAGTCAATGGAAACATTCAATTTGCCTCTGAACCTTTCCGTCGGAGAGAATCTTTTCAAATGAATTACTAAAATACGAGGAAACTTATAGATTGATAAAGACTTTGTACATTTTCTCCTTTGCTTGCACCTCGAACACATTGGTTTTTCATCTCCATCCAGAGTTTCCTTTCTTGTGAAATAATCTAAGCAATGTGACAAACTCACTTGGCCAGATTTTTGTGGTATGGGAAGGGACAAATCCCAGAAAGGATCAAAGGTTACTGATATTAATACTTAATATTCTCAACATTTATTAATATGTCTGTTCAAAATCCATTGGACCCAAATCTTTCAAAATACATTACGTCACTCATCAGTTAGTTTTGATTTAAAAAATAATACAAAGGAATATGATGAATGCTTTTATTACCTACTTCATATATGGAGATTACATGGACATGAATAATTTTTGGGTTAGCACTGACTGAGATTTGGAATATTACAGTTACGAATTCATATGAAATTAGCTGCTTCGAAAAGGCTTTTTCTTACAGTTTGTGTCTGGAAGTTACTTCTTTGCATGATTTACACATCTTTGTATAGAGATAATTTTTGACATTGATTGCTTTTTTTCAATTTTTGGAAAATTCCCACATTTCTCCAACAAGATGAAGAAGTAGAAGGCCAAAAACTTTCTTTTCCTAAAAGAAACTGTTTCGCATGAAAAGACTTTGACAAGAAATACAGAAATAAAAGGATATGGACAGATTTGTCGATTAAAAACAGCATACTTTGAAGTGGATAATATTATAATAGCTATAATAAAACAAATATACCTACGACGAAACTGCAATAACGTTACAAATAATAGTGGTAAAAACATAGAAAGTTTCATTTTTCTTTTCTTCATTATGATTTCCTACCACGTAGTAACGGCTAAATCCATCAATTTATAAAAAAAAACTATTTTTAACTGTTTAGTTTGATGTTCTTTAAAAGTGTATCTCTTAGTTTTTTAAACTATTTTCATTTTTCAGTTTCGTGTGCTATAAAAGCGTGTTTTTTTTTGTTCTTTTTAAACTATATTTATTTTATCTAAACTTTGGGATCAATCAGCCGTATATTGTTTACAAAAATGATCATTGATATTTTTCGATTCCGGAGAGGGATCCTGAAATTCAGCTACCATGCCCAAGGTAGCAGGCGCGCAAAAAGGGTTACAGCGCCATCTGCCAGCGAATAGATCAAGCAATAATGTCTATAATTCTGTCAAATACAGTTTGTAACTCACAAACAAACATACATACATACTAACAGGTGAAGTTAATATAAAGCGTGTAATAAAAAAATAAAAGAAAATCGTTGGAATGGAAATTTCTTCGAAGTGAATGGACGCCGAGAAAATTAATGAAAATAACTAATTTCTGTACAAAATGCACCGACCGTCAAGATCAAAATCAGTAAGAGGTATTTAAAGTGTCCTTTGAATCGTCTCATGAAAACTAAAACACTCGCAACCCCTGCAGAGCGGGTGGATTCCGGAAAAACAAAAATATTTTTTGTCTGATGCACATCGACTGTTAAGATGATACTCACTAAAATGTAAGCAAAATGGCGTGAAAAATCGTTTTATGAAAACAAAAATAACTTCAAATGATATTAAACGAATCAGATACTCAGTTACGAGTATAAGTCTTATTTCAAGATCACTTTTCGAAGTTCGGAATCTGACCAATCATTTCATGACTTGATTTAACGAAATGTTTTGTGTATCGCAGTTTCCTGTTCACCTGGCTAATGACAAGTAGTGTGTCTGAAAAAGTCATATGTATTTCATTATATTTTCTGATCGGTTTTGGTGATCTAGTTCTTCCCCTGATAGATGAATAGGTACATACGCTGTCTGTTCAAAAATAGGTTGAATTATTTATTCATCAATTTCTGCTTTCTTCCCCTCAGATATAATACAATTGTGGCAGCGATTTTTTGTAATCCTCAAAGCAGTTCTGTATGTACTTTTTTGTATGTCCACTTTTTTGTATGTCCTTGAGGTCTTTCAGCGTCACAAAACGCCGTCCTTTCATGAGTCTCTTCAATCTTGGGAACAAATCGCAGGGGGCAAATCTGGTGAATACGGTGGCTAAGACATGATTACGGTGCTGTTTTTGGTTGAAAAATTACGAAAAAGCAATGCCGCGTGACCAGGTGCATTATCGTGATGCAAAAGCCATTAATTGTGCGGAAAATCCTATATCGGTGAAACTTAAAGGCCATTGAAAGTTCGCATTGCTGAGCACAAAAAACACACACAGCGAGGCGAAACCAGTAAAGAGCAGAGCATTTTTGGACCCATCAACATAACATTGAGTGGTCCCAAGCTGAGATCATACACAGGGAAGAATACTGGTTTAGGAGGAAATTCAAAGAAGCCGCATATACATGTTGTCCAACAACGTTTTTAGCTAAGCTAGTGTAGAGATACGGAACATATGGAAATCCATAATCAAGCGAAAAATGGCCAACTCCCGCCAAACGGTCATCTCCCGCTAAACCGGTGAAGCGAAAAGAGGGAAGAGGAGACAGTGAAAGTACTGGAATGACCCATAAATAGTAATCTCTTGGAGAAATTAGTCCAGTCACCCGAAGACGATTGTGGATACTGACAATCGAAACGTCGAGAAGTAACTTGGCTTGGAATCTCTTATTTTTTTGTTTAATTGTTCTATTTTTTACTTGTATTTTATTTCACTGCAATTCCATTTCAGGGTTTTTTTACTTAATATTGTTATTCACATTTCATTTGTAATATTTCTTTTAGGGATTTCAAACTATTTTATATAATATTAGACAATGGAAGTCCGAACTAATGAAATTCATCATGAAACATTGGCATTCACCTTCAAACAAGCTTGTTCCACTTGTAAATTTTTTTTTGACTAAGAGTACAATCATTGAATGCCACTGTCAACATTTGAAGTGCTTTTGAGCACTTTATTCTATGTTTTACACTAAATTTGATACAAACTCTTCGATCCACTTTTTAACACGCTTTATATTAGCTTCACCTGTATGTATGTATGTTTGTTTGTATATATGATTGTTTCTTTGTAACTTTCAAGCTCGGAATGTGTATTGGCAGAATTATCGGCATTATTGCATGATCTATTCGCGGGCAGATGGCGCTGGATGTAACATCATTGATAGGTTGTTCAAAAGAAAATCAAAATAGATAAATCTAGTTTACAAAAAGTAAAAACACGCTTTTAAAGAATATCAAACTAAAAAGTAAAAATATTTTTTTTAAATAAGCTTGAAACAAAAACGATCGAAAAATACTAGTATTATTGTGAAAAATGCCCGGGCGCTAGATATACAGAAAATATGGCACAAACTGCCCACAATTATATCTATACTAGTATTTTTCGATCGTTATTGTTTTGAGCTTATTAAAAAAATAACTTTTTAGTTCGATGTTCTTCAAAAGCGTGTTTTTTAGTTTAGGGGAGAGTGTTCCACAATCAGACACAAAATAGGTTTTGCTAAATATTGACCTTATTTATTGAACAAACGAAAATATGATTTAATTTATCGAAAGGATAAATCCCAGTTTTTCGAAATCCGGATTTTATATTAGCTGGCGTCATCGATTTTTCAAATGCATAATTAACACAGCCAGCTATACCAAAAATAGAAACGGGTATCCCAGGGTGTTCTAAAAGCCGTGTTTGTAAGGCAGTATTGTAGAATGATTTGAACGAAAAAAACAGAGACATCTAACGATTGCATCTTGTTGGAAGTATGCGGTGGTAATGTCAAAATGATCACTCAATTTTCTTTTGCTAGATTTATTCCCCCTATCGTCAGGTGCCTCTCGTGATTGTCAAAAATCAGGAGGGAAGGGTTTTCTTTTGTGCTGGACGTATGTTCAATGAAGTGCCTCACAACGCTTGGAAACAATTCACGAGTCAACCATCCAGAGTCGGAAACCAATCCCAAAGTACCATAATTAAGGTGCTCCATAACAACAAGTGGTGACGAGTGAAACTCGTTCGGCGCTCGTGCAGGAAGATACCTGCTCGATCCCTTTCTGGGCAACAATCTTTTTCGGTTTTTGGACGGTTGTAGTGGCAGTTTCATCTAAATTATAAATTCTTGTACCGCTACAAAAAGTTCCATACTCTTTTCAAACACTGTTTCCAAATTGTTG